GGAAAGCTACTTCAATATTTTTTTTAGCTAATGGAAAAAAAAAAAAAAAAAAAAAAAAAAAAATTAAGATAAATTGAGATAAAATTGACTAGTTGATTTCTGGTGTTGGAAACTGGTATTTTTATTTGAACTGTTTGACAAAGTAAAGCTTTGAACAGCTATCTATCTATGATTTGCCACTAAACAAATAAATAAACGCAAATATTACTAAAAATGCTTTTTAACCAAGAAAAAGCCACAGCAAGAAGTGAAAGAAGATGCATGTCAATGACTTCTCTCTACAAAGAAAGACTGAAAATAGAATACATGGCTGTTACCTTGCCCACGAAGAAGACGATATGTAGCCTGGAGTTCTGAGACTTCCTGAGGGGATGGTCTTTTGGCTGTGGCTGCTATCCATAATCGTCCTCTATGGGGGGTATACCAGGATCTGCCCTCCACCCTTAAACAAATACAAATTTAGTGTGAAGGATCTTAATTCTAGTTTTCTGAAAAATTCTGTAATATACAACAAATCCTATAGAAGATTATCTAATTGAAACAAAAGACATGTAGATGATACCTTATTAAGAGGGATCTCTCTCACCCAGTTCCTTTCACTTGAAGATGAACTCTGTTCTCTAATTTCTTTGTTGTTGTTCTTGTTGTTTTTGGAGTTTTTCTCAGACAAAGTCTTACTTAGTCACCAAGTAGAGGTCAGTGACACCAATATAGCTCAATGTAGGGTCAAATTCCTGAGATCAAGCAATTCTCCCAATTCAGCTTCCTGGGTAGCTGGGGCTACAAGCCCATGCCACCACACCCAGTTAATTTTATCTATTATATATATATTTTTTAGAAATGAGGGCTTCCACAAGTTGATTTCAAACTCCTGGCCTCAAGCGATCTTCTTATCTCAGCCTCCTCTAGAGGGTTAGTATCATAGGCATACCCACTGCACCCTACCTCTAATTTCTTCTAACATCAGAATAAAGACAATTCATCTCTCACAACTCCTGACTACTTTTCTCCTGATCCCTACCACTTAGACCTGGAGCCCTCCCAGGGGCTTCTAAATGCAAATGCTCTATTTTCAAGGCATCCACACTATCCCAAACGTATGGAAATCCTTGCCCCTGAGTCAAACTTAACTTTTCCTCAAAGAGTTATACTCCAATCTGACAGAAAAATCCTAACTCGGCGCGGGGCCTGTGGCTCAAGCGGCTAAGGCGCCAGCCACATACACCTAAGGTGGCGGGTTCAAATCCCTAGCCCGGGCCTGCCAAACAACAATGATGGCTGCAACCAAAAAATGGCCAGGCGTTGTGGCGGGCGCCTGTGGTCCCAGCTACTTGGGAGGCAGAGGCAGGAGACTCGCTTGAGCCCAGGAGTTGGAGGTTGCTGTGAGCGTGCTGCCATGGCACTCTACCCAGGGGGATAGCTTGAGGCTCCGTCTCAAAAAAAAAAAAAAAAAAGAAAAATCCTAACTCGCATGTAACTCCCCAAACTGGTACTTTTAAATTTTTACTTAATATAAGTAAATAAAAATACTTATAATTTTTATTCTTTAAATTACAATCACACCAATTTATATATATATTTTTTCCAAGACAGAGTCTCATTATGTCGCCCTGGGTAGAGTGCCATGGTGTCACAGCTCACAGCAACCTCAAACTCTTGGGCTTAAGTGATTCTCTTACCTCAGCCTCCCAAGTAGCTTGAACTACAGGCGCCTGCTACAACACCTAGCTATTTTTTGGTTGTAGTTGTCATTGTTGTTTGGCAGGCCTGGGCTGGGTTTGAACCCACCCATTCCAGTGTATATAGGCACCAAATCCCAATTTATATTTTCTAATTGTACATAGTGTTGTGTTCTCTGTGAATAATTAAATTTATAGATGGACACAATGGTTCATACAATTTTATCATTTTGAGAGGCTGAGGCAGGAGGGTTGCTTGAGCCCAGGAGTTAAGAGACTAGCCTGGGGCTTAGTGCCCATAGCTCAGTGGTGAGGGCACCAGCCACATACACTGAGGCTAGCAGGTTTGAGCCCTGCCCAGACCTGCTGAAACAACAATGACAAATCCAACCAAAAAATAACCAGGTGTTGTGGCGGGCACCTATAGTCCCAGCTACTTGGTAGGCTAAAGTAAGAGAATCGCTTAAGTCCAAGAGTTGGAGGTTGCGGTGAGTTGTGACACCATGACACTCTACCGAGGGTGACACAGGGAGACTCTGTCTCAAAAAAAAAAAAAAATAAGAGAACAGCCTGGGAAATAGCCCCTTTTCTACACCTACACACATACACATACACACATGTGCACACGCGCACGCACGCACAAACTAGCTGAGCATGGTGGCCTGCACCTGTAGCCTCAACTACTTAGGAAGTTGAGACAGGAATATAGCTGGAGCCTGGCCAGGACTTGGAGGCTGCAGTGAGCTATGATGATACCACTGTACTTCAGCTTGGGCAACAGAGCAAGAGCCTATCTATGTGAAAGAAAAGAAAAGAAGAGAGGAAAGGGAAGGAGAGGGGAGGGAAGGAGAGGGAAGGAGAGAAAAGAAAAGAAAAGTGGCTCGGCACCTGTGGCTCAAGAGGCTAAGGCACCAGCCACATACACCTGAGCTGGTGGGTTCAAATCCAGCCCTGGCCCACCAAACAACAACAACAGCTGCAACCAAAAAAATAGCCAGGCGTTGTGGCAGGCACCTGTGGGCAGAGGCAGGAGACTCGCTTGACCTAGGAGTTGGAGGTTGCTGTGAACTGTGATGCCACAGCACTCTACCCAGGGTTACAGCTTGAGGCTCTGTCTCAAAAGAAAAGAGGCTCGGTGCTTGTAGCACAGTGATTACAACACTAGCCACATACACGGCCAGGCTGGCAGGTTCAAACCTGGCCCAGGGCCAGCTAAACAACAATGACAACTGCAAAAATAATTGCCGGGCCTTACAGCGGGCACCTGTAGTCCCAACTACTTGGGAGGCTGAGGCAAGAGAATTGCTTAAGCCCAGGAGTTTGCAGTTGCTGTGAGCTGTGACACCATGGCACTCTATCAAAGGCAACGGCTTGAGACTCTGTCTCAAAAAAAGAAAAGAAAAGAAAAGAAAAAGGCAGTGCCTATAGCTCAGGGGGTAGGGCGCTGGCCATATACAGTGGGGCTGGCGGGTTTGAACCTGACAGGGGCCAGCTAAAACAACGACGACTGCAACAAAAAATTAGCCTGGCATTGCGGCAGGTGCCTTGTAGTTCCAGCTACTTGGGAGGCTGAGGCAAGACAATTGCTTGAGCCCAAGAATTTGAGGTTGCTATAAGTTGTGACATCATGGCACTCTACCCAGGGCAATAGCTTGAGACTCTGTCTCAAAAAAAGAAAAGGAAAGGAAAGGAAGAGAAAGAGAGAGAGAAAGAGAGAGATAAAGGAAAGGAAAAAGGGAAAAAGGGAAGGGAAGGGAAGGGGAAATGAAAGGAAAAAGGAAAGAAAAAAGTGGCTCACACCTGTAATCCTAGCACTCTGGGAGGCCAAGGCAGATGGATTGCCTGAGGTCACAGATTTGAGACTAGCCTGAGCAAGAGTGAGACCCCATTTCTAAAAACAGGCAGGCGTTGCAGTGGGTGCCTGTAGTCTGAGCTACTCAGGAGGCTGACATAAGAGAAGCACTTGAGCCCAAGAGTTTGAGATTGCTGCGAATTATGACGCCAAGGTACTCTACTGAGGGCAACTAAATGAGACTCTGTTGGGAAATATCCAGTCACATAAAAAGAAAATTAAAAAAGAAAACAACAACTTGTTGACTAGTTTGAAAGAAACTTTAAGTGGAAGAAGAGAATGCATTCATGGGAACTTAATTGTATTTGCTACTTTCCAAGGGTTACAAAAAGATGCTTCTCGTTCACTAAACTCCCACAAAATTAAAGAACCTTGATAATCTACTCCATTCTTATAAGAATATAGGGTCGTGGGGGGCACCTGTGGCTCAAAGGAGTAGGGCACTGGACCCATATGCCAGAGGTGGTGGGTTCAAACCCAGCCCCAGCCAAAAACTGCAAAAAAAAGAATATAGGGTTGTGAATGTTTTATATCCTTGGTTTTCTACCATAGATGAATTAGAAGAACATTAAGACGCATTCAGTAGGTTCTCAAAATGGGGAATGAACCAATATGTGTCTTCCCTCTAGGCCACATAACCTTTAGGGTGACTGGAAAACAGGTCCACAGATGCGGCAGAACCACTCATTTCATTTCTGTGGGATAGTGATTGTGGGCTAGACTCATGCTGCTTTTTCAGTAAGAAAATGATAGTAGAGATCCAAAATAGGATAGGAGAAATATAAATACTCTGATGCCCTTAGTAGAAGGCAAGTTGGTTGGTTTTCTACATGGGGAAAGGAAGACACCTAAACTGCAGAGGACTCAATGAGAAGACTAGCCATCTCAGGGCTTGTTGTCCTGGAGCAGAAGTGGATTCACATGCACTTATTCTAATTACGGCACTACACACACAGCCTATGAAACATTAGAAGCCAAAGCAAGAAAATCTAACCTTTAAGAAGGTAGAAAAGAGGCTGGGTGCGGTGGCTCAGGCCTGCAATCCTAGTGCTCTGGGAGGCTGAGATGGGAGGACTGCTTGAGCTCAGGAGTTTGAGACCAGCCCGAGCAAGAGTGAGATTCCCAACTCTACTAAAAATAGAAAACCTAGTTGGGTGTTGTGGTGGGTACTTGTAGTCCCAGCTACTCAGGTGGCTGAGGCAAGAGGGTTGCTAGAGCCCAAGTGTTTGAGGTTACTGTGAGCTACAAGGCCATGACACTCTAACCTGGGCAACAGAGTGAGACTCTGCCTCAAAAAAAAAGGTAGAAAAGATGTAGTGCACCTTAACAAAGAGAGAAATGACAGCTAATAGCCATAAAGAAGAGATGATTGTGCCTAAATGCTGGTAATTTTTCTTTCAGGAAAGTACAGAAATAATTGAAGCCTGCATAGTAGAGTGAAGGAGCACTGTGAGGACCTGAATACTAGCTCCTCCTCTGCCACTGACCAGCTTTGTAATTCAGAGCAATCTTCTTTACCTTTGGCTGCCTCAGTGTCCTCATCTGACAAAGATTGTAATAATATGGGCCTAATCTACAGTCAGGTGTCACTGAACAATGGAAATACATCCTGAGAAATGTGTCCTTAGGTAATTTCATTCTTGTACATTCTATGATACAGCTGTGATATAAACCTAGGCTATATGGTATAGCATACCACTCGTAGGCTACAAACTCATATAGCATGTTATTGTATGGGATACTGCAGGCAATTATAACACAGTGGTAAGTATTTGTGGGTGGTGCCCGTGGCCCAAGGAGTAGAGCACCAGCCCCATATATTGGGGGTGGTAGGTTCAAGTCCAGCCCCAGCCAAAACTGCAAAAAAAAAAAAGACAAATATTTGTGTATTTAAACATATTTAAACATAGAAAAGGTACAGTAAAAATATGGTATTATAATCTTATGGGACCACAGTTGTATACGTGGTACATCACCAAAAAGATATCATGTAGCACATGACTATATTTCACAGCAGTACCACTTTGAAAACTAAAATTCTATTTAAATGTAAAATATTTTACTGTTATAAGTTGGGAAATATCCAGTCACATAAAATTCTAACAGAAAAAAATAAGAAGGAAAAATGAGAATGTTGTGTTGTAGTGTTTTTGTTTTTTTTGTTGTTGTTGCTTTTGGCCAGGGCTGGGTTTGAACCCACCACCTCTGGTGTATGGGGCTGGCGTCCTACTCCTTGAACCACAGGTGCCACCGTTGAGTTGTAGTGTTAAGCAAAAGAGAAACACAAACATGTATCATGATGTCACTATATAACAATTTGCACAGGAAAAAGAATAAACACCCCAAAATGCTAATAATACATATTTCTAGGTGTGAGATTGTAGGCACTCTTTTTCTAGCTACTTTTCAGTGTTTTACAATTTTCTATTCATATGTAAAAAAGCAAAGAAACAGCTATTTTTAAAAATTTAATTGAGAAGAAACTTAAGAAACCACAGAATAGTAAGCTATTACCATCACTAACAGGTAAAACATAGCTCGGTAATACAATAGAAGAACCTCCGTAGTTACCACCTCCCTACATTGACCACCTCCTTAAGTTGACCTAATTTTCATAGAATAGACATGCACCACATGCTGTACACTAGGCCTAGTTCCTTATGGTGACCACTGCTGTTACATTAACCAGTTTGTTACAGTACCTTGGATGGTCAACTTACAGAGGTTCTACTTATTTGTGGTAAAATAGTTTCTCAATATGGATAGCCAGATTAACAGATATATAAATAGGAAAATAAAATCACAGTTAAAATGAATAAATAGGCATAAAAATTTAAATTTATTTTTTCTTTCTTCTTCTTTTTTTTTTTTTGAGACAGAGCCTCAAGCTGTCCCCCTGGGTAGAGTG